GCTGCTCTGCTCGGTCCTCCCCCGGGAAGGGCTCCTGCCTCGGAGGTTCCCAGGTAGCGTGTGGCAGTTCCACGCCTTGCCCTGCGTGGGTTCCCTCTTGGAAAGAAATGCCCCGTTTTCTTCTCTCGTTCTTCAGGGCGCTGAAAAATGTCGGGTTTTCTGGAGAGTTTGAGGTGCTCGGAGTGTGTTGACTGGGGGGAGAAAAGAAACACGATTGCTTCTGTGGCTGCGGGAGTGCTGGTACGTTGGGCTTCTCTTACCGCTTCTCAGACACAGCCCGTGAGATAAAACATCTTTAGCTGTTTGGAAGTGAAAGGAAGAACGGGGAGATGTTGTCCTTGTATGTAGCAGCAGAGTTAGGGACAAGATCTGCTGCTGACACCCACACGTTACTTTGTTTTGCAGCTTCTATCCATCTAATAATTATTGGAGTAGAGGAATCTGGTTTTCATTTAACCTTATTCCTAAGTTGATACCAAAATGAGTTGTGCTATCACTTGATTCTGGATTGGGGACCATAAGGATGACTTTCTATATTAACATTATTATTCCTACAGCCATCTTATATATTGTTAAAAGATTTATGTACATATTTTAAGCTACTGTGCTCTTTTCTGTTTTTTAATAGTTTTTCACAGGTTGGTGGATAATCATAGATGCAGCTGTAAAATACCCTAAAATGGAAGACTTCAACCATTCCTACCATGCTTGTGGGGTTATAGCCACGATTGCATTCCTAATGTAAGTGTCATTTTTAAGCAGAGCTGCACACGTGGAGTATCCTGAATTTCTCTCTTATATTGGTTGATATTTATAGTAAGGAACCATTTTTAAAAATTAAGCTTGTAGCGCAGGGCAAAGTGTTATTAGTCTTTGGAAAAATGCTTTTAAGTTTTAGCTTTGCCCCTCTGAAAAAAAAAAAAAGGTAAGAAATACAACATCATCTTTTTTTATATAGGTTTCTGAGAAGTTTCTGCTGTTGTTTTGTAAAAACATACCTCTTGATTTGCCTGTTTCTACCCTGTTTCCTCGCACAGGATCAACGCGGTGTCCAACGGACAAGTGAGGGGTGACAGTTACAGCGAGGGCTGTCTGGGACAAACAGGTATGGGGACACAGGCTGGTGTGTACCACAGCCCTGGGGAGCTGCTGGAGGACCTGTCAGAGCTGTACCAGTGTGTGTGGGCTGTCTCTGTGCACAGCTCTGGTGTGTCACAGCAGGAGCTCTGAAACAAAAGGGTGTCTGTGCTGGGACACAAAACATCCCCACGTCTTTTTCAAGGGGCTCGGATCTGGCTCTTCATTGGGTTCATGATGGCCTTTGGATCTCTGATTGCTTCCATGTGGATCCTCTTTGGAGGCTATGTTGTGAAAGGTGAGATACAGCATGGATATGATCTGGTTTTGAAAGTTTGAAGTGTTTTTTTTAGAACTTATTCTAACTAGTTTCTAGGCAAGTTCAGTTTCAATGTTTTGGTTCCTTACACATCACCATTGCATAGTATCTGCTATTATCAGGTGGGTTTTATCTACTTAGAAGCCACAAAGCTTCCAACTAGGCTCATTAGAAACACAAGTTCTGGTCACCTGGGAACTGCACTGATTAATTATAATTAATAATTAAACTGCTGCAGTTATATTCTAGTAATTCCTTGGGTGAACACTTATTCCTAGAATAAGAATTACTGATTTTGTGCAAATCGCCCAAATGTTTCAATTTGTTGCTTTAAATTTATACCTTAAAACCTACCATGGTCAGTTTTGTGGCAGTAAATGTTGAGGAAAACATGGAAACTGCAGTGTTTGCTTTGGAAAAAATCTTTTTGGTTTTTTTTTTCCACAAGGAAACAAAGTTATTTAAGTACTACAAGTACTACTTGAGCCTGGTGCTGAAGTGAGTCAGGGCACATGGGTGGGTTTGTTTCATTTCCATTCTCCACAGCTTTGGCCTTGCTGGATTCCCAGGGAATTTTCAGGGGAACAGGTTAATTAGATAAATAGTTGTGCTTCTAAAGTGCACTCCCAGTTTGTATAGTGTCATTATGTATGAATACAGATGTGTGTGCACTTAGATGCACATTCCAAACAGGATGTGTCATCCCAAGTAATAATCACAGTCTTTATGAGCATGGCATTTGAGATGCACACTTTGGGTCAGAGAACAGGAGAGGCTTTTTGACTTGGAAAACTAAATGGATTGGGGGGGAGCACAAAAGCCAATTAATTAACTTTCCAGGGGGCTAAGGCTGAGGCTTCTGTGTCCCACAACAGAGATGGGAGTTGGGGGCATCTTGTCTGGGAGCTGCTCAGTGCTGTCTTAATTCCATGTGAGAACAATCTGGTTTGGCAGATTTATGTGGTAGAATAACTAAGTGTTTTTTTTCACTTCACCCCTGTGTCTAGTCAGGAATTCTGACTCATAACAGGCCCCTCTCTAACTCTATTCCTTCCCACTCCAGTTGTTCATATTTAAAAGAAGCTGGTTACCTTTTGCCAGAACTTAACCCACATAGTGTTTCTGGAATGTGAGAGATGGGATATTCATTAAAACTTCTCAAAAATTCATGGGAATTCTTTCTTTTCTTAGAAAAACCAATTGTATATCCAGGAATTGCTGTTTTTTTCCAGAATGCATTCATCTTTTTTGGGTAAGACACTCTTCCTTTGTTAATTTCTTACCTGTTTATAATTATTAAAACTGAAACTTGCTGTAATATTTATTATTTTAAGCTCTGTTTTGTAACTAGACAGGGGTGAATAATCTGCTGATTATTCAGAATTCTGGGCTCTGTCTGCATAAGTTTTGTTGCAGGACCAGGACTTAAAAATACTACAATTTGCTCCCTGCAATAGTGTCTTTAAAATACTAGAGATTTGATTTGCTCTGGGTTGTACTCATGGCTCTTCATTCTCTTTCAAACAGAGGACTGGTCTTCAAATTTGGTCGCACAGAAGATCTGTGGCAGTAAACACACCCTGAGCTGCTCTGGCTGGGCTGGCTTTTTAACTGCAGGCTCCCTGGGTTTTGTAAAACCATTTTGTAAACAGTGACCTTCAATTGTGTCTAAAGAGAAAACAAGGAAATCTTAAATCCTAGCACTAAAACTCCTGGTTCTATTCTGTTTCATGTTTTTACTCTTGAATGTTGATGTCAATGTTGTCATGTTTTTGACCAATGCAGAATTGCTACAAGCAACCATGGCAGTCACTTTTATGATAGGATGTTTGCTACAAGTAAATAGGATAGTGGAAAACTGAGGTATTTAACCAGCTGTTTCTATCATGTTATTTACAATTCAGGACTTACTAAAAATGCTTTAAACCAACTTTTTAACGTATATTTATTAAATATTTCCTATATCTGGACAATATAACCATTTCTTCAATTTCAAAACGTACTGATGTGTGGCTTTTCTTGCATAATACAGAACTGTGCTCCTTTGGGATTTTTTTTTTTACACACACCCCCCCATCCCCAAATATTTAATTTATCCTATGGAGATAATGAGTAACAACTCCCTGTGGCTGTGCATAACAGGATAGAGGCACAAGTACAACTTGTGCAGTGGCTCTGGATGGAGGTACCTCATGCACAAAACTTGCTGTCAGCTACTTTCTAACCACTGTAAAATAAAGGGAGAGAGCTCTTCAGGTCAGAGTTCAGGAAGAATAATAGAATCACAGAATCACTTTGGTTGGAAAAGACCTTCAAGGTCAGAGTCCAACCATTAACCCTACTCTCTCAAGTCTAGCACTGAGCCATGTCCCCAAGCACCACGTCCACACAACTCTTAAACACATCCAGGGATGGTGACTCAACCACCTCCCTGGGCAGCACATTCCAATGTCTGACAACCCTTTCAGAGAAAAAGTTCTTCCCAATGTTCAGCACCCATGGAATGGTGAGAGAGCTCTGCTGTACCAGCCCCTCCCTCTGCTCTTATCTAGGCTTGTTGCTTAAGAAATCAATGATAAAAGACACATGGGGAAAAGGAAGGGAATAAAATACTATTCCTTAAAAGCATTTCTGCTGGAGAACAGCTTGTGTTGCAGCAGCATTGCCTCCAGTCTTACATTTTCCCTCATTACTTTAAGCATGCTGAATAAATAAAAACCATCAAACTTTGACTTTTTTTATTCTGTAAGCATTTTTGAAAGAGGTTTGTTGTTTTTTTTTTCTATGCCAATTATTTTGAAACAAAGCATCACAATCCATTTTAAAAACAAGGGGTTGTTTGCACAGAAGCCTCCTGCTTGTCTCAGAGTAACACAGCTCAAGGTAAGACACTTCCCAAACAGGGTCTTGGCACCAAGAAGCACCAAGGATTATTCCTCTCCAGTTGTTCCCACCCTCAGGGCAGCCAGAGCTGCCCCTGTGCTGGTGCAAGGCTGTTCTGAGGTTTGCTGCCACATCTTGAATATGAACGATACCATTGATTTCAGGGACATCATCCACAAGCAGAACAATTTCACTTCTTGCCATCTGAACTTCCAAATAGCCTGAGACAAATAATTACAGCTTTTCCTTGAACCACTCAGATAACTCAAAGAATTCAGTTCTGGCTCCAATCCAGCTCACCAAATCCTGGCTTAACAAGGTCTTCAACAGAATTAATTTACCTTAAAAAGAAGTACTTTAATGCTTCAGTAGATAAGAATGAGTATCTACTCCATGAAAAATTATCCTTTAAAAGATGTGCTTTGGCTTTTAAAGTTGGGAGCCAAAAATGTAAGCTTGGGAGCTCAAAACTTCCAAGCATTTTGATGAATAAGCCACTACAGCAATGAGTGCAGCCAACTTGTTTGTACACATCCTACAAAACCAAAACATTGAAGGTGAGACCAACAAAGCAGAAAAGCAAAATTAATTGTGAGTTTGCATCTGTAAATTTACACCCTGTATTGTTAATTTTTTGTGTGTCCACTGGGATGGCTTTTTTTTTGAGCCTGAGATTTTATATGTAAATGCTCTATTAACTTTCTCTAGTTAAAACAGGAAAATCTTATCTTGGTCAAATCAGTCCATTGGGTTCCTCTGTTCAAAATCCAACAGCCAAATGGGGAAACTGTGAAGACAAACATTCTTTTATCAGAACATTTTATGCATCAAATAGTCATATAAAAAGGCAATGGACAACCTTGTTAGAAGCTGATTTTCATCCATTTCTTCTGTAATTCAGATCTAGCACCACAATCAGCACCTAAAGGTGCTCAAGGCCTGTGTTTGTGCATCAGGCTGCAGCCAGGAAAGTCTGTTTTCATAAAGAGCACCTTTCATACCATTCACTGGCTTCTAAAAATCCCTCCCTTAGTCTCAAGTCTCCTCAGGGACTATGTGAACCCAGGAGGCCAGGGCTGCAAATCCCAGAGAATCTCTGAGCATTTAGGAGGACATGTTACAACAAACAAGATCATTTCTGATTTATGCCTGTGCTCACCAACACCTCTGACAACCCCAGCTGAAGACTACACACATTTATCATATCCAGGCTCTGAATCAACTGTGGGAACAGTTCATCCATCACAAATATGGCATCCAAAATGTGCTGTGAAATGGAATTATTCCCCCTTTTTCTCTTTCAAAACAAATGCCTGAAGTTCTTCATCAGGGTCAACAAGATGCAATATATAACCCCACACAGCTAATTTTACATTGAAACTCACCTCCCAGTAAAACTGGTCATCAAAGTACTTTGATACAGGTGTGGTCTTAAATGGTCTGAGATTTAATATTAAACCTGTTTGTAAAAAATAAATATATCCAATATAAATATATGTATCAGGGAAAAGAGAAGATTGTGTGTAACTGGAGATTTCATGGTAACATGTATCTAAATGTGACACAGATCAAAATACAAATTCAGAATTAAATGCTCCAGCACAGCCCCTTCACTCAAGCTTACCTTAAGTAGAAAGAAGCTTGCTAGGATCAAGGTTTGTGATATTAAAATTTAATTACTCTGGGTAACAAAGCCAGGTTCTAAAAAATGCATAAAAAATCATTAAGTTCTTGCATGAAAAATGCCTGTGCACTTAAAAAGCCACCAGGGTTATCAGCACTGGTAGCTTGGGATTTTCAATCTCACACATCTCTTGTCTGGAGTTTGAAGGCAGCTGTTAAAATCAACTACACCAATGGAAAAGTGGTGCTATGAGGCTGTTTCTGTTGAATACAGCTCTTTAAAAGACAGGCTTTGAAGGGTCCCTGCATTCATGTTTCCCTTGGCAGCTTCTACAAATAATTTACCCAGAGAAATAATTTCTGAGCCCCAGTTCAAGTGGCCTCTCCTTGCTACACTGCTGTGGTAGCAGGAGTGGTAAGATGAGGTACCCCCTCCCCCCAGGAAATGAGGTCTTAATGAAACATCTTTCAATACTGACCTGTAATAAAACCTGTTACCAAGGCAACACTGATGGTCTGGCAGATGGCACCAAGGTGAGTCATGACCAAAGAACCCAAGCTGAAAAGCAAAATGTTTCAACTTAAATTCAGACTGTGAAGGAATCTCTCTATGCAGTGTTCTACATCAAACCCCCTCAGAAAGATTATGTTAGTCTTGAATCACTTTGAAGCTGCAGTTAGATGTTTAAGAGATCCTACCAGAAACCTAATCCAGACTTCAGAGAGACATATTTTGCCCTTAGAAACCATCACTGTGGCACTAAAACATCATTACATTTGTCTGTTTTAATAAGAAACACTGTGATTAATTCTGCAGAAACTGAGAAAATCAGAGAATTTCTTCTATGACACGAAATGAGCTTGATATGCAAAAAAACCACCAACTTATGGAGAACACCCTTAACTGAGCCCTTCACCTTCTGCAGGGTATCTCCCCAAGTGTATCTGTCAGTGCAGTGTCCAGTCTTGGCTTTAGTCCAAGCTGACAATCTTGCCCTTCACTCAGAGTTAAAGCTCCATTCAAAGGAAAATGCTGATTTCTGCCCCCCTGTGTTAGCACACAAAGCTCCCCAAAACACATCCTAAAAGCCAAAATGAGTCTTGGAATGATACACATCCCCAGCCCTCATCTCCTATGCCTGCTGCATTTAATCTTAAATTAAAAGGGGGACAGGATTAGCTAAGCTTATTACTTACTAGGAAGAATTTATGTACCTTGATATATTAATCCATCCTTCTATTCCTACGAGAAGGAGGTGGGCAAGACCCCCAAGCACCGCAGGCAAGCCAAAAGTGAAATGAACTCCAGTGGCATCATGGATCTTGAGAGCAGGATTCAAGCATCTCTGGGGAGAAGAAAAGGTCTAATTGATACAGCAAAAGGTGAGTTGATAACAGCAGATTACAAATAAACTTTGGTCTTGCAAGCTGCAAATGTGGGCTCTGCTTGTTTCCTAGCTCTGATCTCTTTGAAAGAGAGATTTCCCTTGAGGTATCCTACATTAGAAAAGAAGTTCATAAAGCTTAAACAAAAAAAAACAACAAACAACCATTTGAGGTTTTGAGTATTACCTGTAAGCAGGAAGATCCTAATATGGCTATCACACTGGCCAGCAGACCCAAAATCATGGCAATCCAAGGATGCTGGATGCTGCCCATTGCATAACCAACAGCGACGCCGCCTGCGAGGGCTGCACTGTGGATATCAGTCTGGGAATAAAACATGGAGTGAGAACTCAAGTCATCACTTTTAGCAGCCCAGTATCACTGATGGGTATTCTCACGCACATCTGATCCCTTCAGGATTCAGAGTGAATGCTCTTTGCTACATAAGAAGGACATGGAGCTGTTGGAGTGAGTCCAGGGGAGGCCATGCAGCTGATCCAAGGCTGGAGCAGCTCTGCTCTGGAGACAGGCTGGGAGAGCTGGGGTGTTCAGCCTGGAGAAGAGAAGGCTCCAGGGAGACCTTAGAGCACCTTCCAGGGCCTGAAGGGGCTCCAGGAAAGCTGGAGAGGGGCTTGGGACAGGGGCAGGGAGGGAGAGGACAAAGGGGGATGGATTAAAACTGGAAGAGGGGAGATTGAGGTTGGACATGAGGAGGAAATTCTTGGCTGTGAGGGTGGTGAGAGCCTGGCCCAGGTTGCCCAGGGAAGCTGTGGCTGCCCCATCCCTGGCAGTGTTGAAGGGCAGGTTGGATGGGGCTTGGAGCAGCCTGGGCTGGTGGGAGGTGTCCCTGCCCATGCAGGGGGTTGGATCTAGATGATCTTTAAGGTCCCTTCCAACCCAAACCATTCTCTGATAAACTACAATCTGAGAACATAAATTCTAAGTTCCAGCTTCAGCTTGGGAGACTGTCAGGCTGAAAACTTGGGATCTGATACAGCTGGTAACAGCTCTGACACTTTCAGTGCAATGCTGAGGGTAACAGAAAAATCTCTTTCCAAAGCCATGATTTCCTCTCAGGTCTCACCATTCTGAACTTTCCATCCTTTGTGGTCAGAACAGACAACACGAAGGCAGTCACAGCACTCACTGCAAGGGCAAAGTAGGTGTTGTAGATTGCTGTCTGCCTGTAGTTACTAAAGAGCACAGAATTGAAGCTTGGCCAGAACACCCAGAGAAAGAGAGTACCTGGAGATAAAGACAAGCAATTCTCATTACCTGCTCTAAAACATGACGAATTGGGCTGTTCCTGAAGAGCTCCAGCCCACATTTTGCATTTTCTGCAATTCCCATAAACAAAGGGTAACACTTCACAATGCAGACAGCCCTGAGAGCTGCCTGCTGGCTCAACACCTTCCCAGCACACACCACTGCCATGGCAAACACAGCCAAGGCACAGCTCCACTGACCTCTGCCTGGTCCTTCACAGAGCTTTTTTCTAGAACACCTTGAACTTTATCTTTAGTGTGAGGGTGATGAGACATTGGCCTAGGTTGCCCAGGGAAGCTGTGGCTGCCCCATCCCTGGCAGTGTGGAAGGGCAGGTTGGATGGGGCTTGGAGCAACCTGGGCTGGTGGGAGGTGTCCCTGCCCATGCAGGGGGGGTTGGATCTAGGTGATTTTTAAGGTTCCTTCCAATCCAATCCATTCTATGATCTCTTATCCCCTCAAACTCAGGTTCAGATACAAGTGGGAACAAACCCACTGCTGATTTCCAAACAATCAGCATCCTGCCCATCCTGCACAGCCAGCAGAAACTTGCTCCTTGGCCAAAATTTCTGTCCCTTTTTGTGGAACTGTGGCATATCTGTTCAAAACCAGTTGCAAGAAAGGATTAAAGGGAGCCAAAAAGGAAAACAGCTCAGTGGTACAAATTACTACAAAGTAACCCAAACTGCACTTCAGAATGTTCTTTACTTTGGCTACCAGTACAATTGGTGCTGATTGCTTTGCCTCCTGGCAGGGTTTGAAGTGAAAAAGAGGATGAACTGGATGATAAGAATAGAATCCTCCCTATTCTGCTAAGATTACTCCAGAGGAGGGCTAAATCCCAACAGCTTGAGCTGAGATGATCATGCTCCACCAACTCAGCTACACACAGCATAGCTTTCTTATCTGTAGAAGAGTTACCTACTGAATAGGTCCCCAGTATGTGGGTCAAAAAGAACAATTCACTGTCCTCCTGTAAGATCTCTGCACAGTGTCACACCTCCATGACCACACAAGCTTTGCTAACAAGAGGAATAAAAACAGGTTCTCCTGCTTCTATGACCTCGGAGCTCATTGTCAGCATTTAGGAATCTCAGGCTCTGTCGAACAAGTTCACTGCTTGGCAGGACACATATTTTCCAATGGGCATGTGGATCCACACGCACAGATCAAATTCCAGCCAGCAGAGGGAAGTCGGTGGCCTCTAGACCACACACTCCAACCTGTGCCCCTGCTCCCGGAGCTGAGCCTGGTCCTGAATGACAACGCAAACAAGTGACAGTTTATTTTGCCTTGTCCAGTCATTATTTTTTGCTGTCAACTTCCAAAGATAACGCTCTGTTCTCCATGCCACAGAGGTAAAACGAATAAAGTTTAGAATAATGATAAATAAAATTACTTCTGTAAGAAAAAGGTGGCACTCCCAGACACTCAGACTGTCATGACCCAGATCCTTCTCGTGTGCTTGTTTATCATTTTCCCCACCTTTCATCAGGCTTTTATCTCTTCATTTACATTCCTAGGCAGGGACTGCCTGTTTCTATCTCTGTACAGCACCTTGCAAAACAAAACTTAAGCCTTGGCCCCAGCTGGGAACTGCAAGCACTACTGAAATACAAATAACAACTTCAACTTTGGTGTGTAGGAGCCTCACCAACTACACGAGCCCAAAGGGGACAACCGAGTTGGAGAGGGAAAGGTTAACCTGCCATAGCCTTTGTGCTGAGACTGACAGAAGCAAACTAAGCCCCAGCCCTGGCAGGAGTGGCTTAGATGCCTGGTAGGAAACATGCTGAGACTCACCAACTCATTGTCAGAAACCACCAGCCACAGCAGCACCCTCTTCTAAGCCCAGCTGCATTCAGAGCTGCACTGTGCAGGTAAAAGCTTCAGTGTGCTGTGGTCAGTCCCCAGAAACATCCCTTATGTTCTCACTGCAATTCCCTCTTCCAGCTGTTAAAGCAAATGCCTTACCCAACATGGAGAATAAATCTGACTTGGGGGTACTTGAACTCTTCTCAGCCCTTGGGGATGGCTCAGGGAATTGTGAGGAGACTGCCAGACCAAAGTAGGCTCCAAACAGGTGAACATGCATCAGGCTGTTAGAATATGGAACCTGTAGCAAGAGAATAATCACATTTGTGGTTTATTTCATCCCATAGGAAGCCTTTGGTGTAGTTCTTCACATAGTTGCTCATGTAACCTCCCTACCAGGAGTTCATTTTCACAGTCCTTCAGTTTATGCAGAAGTTATCTGAATTCAAGGTAAACACACAATTCATATACAGAGAGTTTGGATCCTGGTCTGATTCTGCTAGTACACCATTCCCATGGGAAATCTTCCAGACTGAACTGACACAGGGAGGGGGTGAAGTTTAAAGGCAGTTAGTGCCTTAGCAGAGTTCAAGGCATGTGCTGGGGACAGGCAGGGCACAGGAAAGGCCCAGTGCTCTGCATCCCAATCCATCAGACCAGCTCAGCCTTGAAGGCCAAGAAACAGCCAATTCTATGGCATATGCAGGGTTTGGAGTTCAAGGTGCTTAACTATAGTCCCAAAGCCAAATTTAATCTCTTAATGAAAACATAGCCACAATCTAAGTGAGATGAAACACACTGATCTTCCTGTCAGCTGAGCACCACCAAAAGGCAACATTCCCAAGTCCCAGTGAAACGTTTCCCAGCATGCAGGGAAATCACACTCCTGTACCTCCAGGTATAACGTGTTGATACATCTGCTGATATGGAAAAATATGATCTCCACAACTGTCATCAGAATCAACTGCAGAGGATTAGCCCTTCCAAGAATAACTCCAGTGGAGATGACCACAGAAGTCATACTCACAGAAGCCTGTGTTATTCTGAAATTAAAGAAAGGAAAGAAAAATTAATTCTAGATTAGGATCACACCAGAACCAAGAACAAAAGAAGGACAGACAGTAAAATGTACTTAAAAACTCCTAAAATGTCTTCAAGGGAGGGGATTCTGCCCCTCTATTCTGCTCTAGTGAGACCCCATCTGGAGTTCTGTGCACAGCTCTGGAGCCCTCAGCACAGGGAAGATATGGAGCTGTTGGAGAGGATCTAGAGGAGGCTACAAACATGACCCAAGGGCTGGAGCAGCTCTGCTCTGGAGACAGGCTGGGAGAGTTGGGGTGTTCAGCCTGGAGAAGAGAAGGCTCCAGGGAGACATTAGAGCACCTTCCAGGGCCTGAAGGGGCTCCAGGAAAGCTGGGGAGGGACTTGGGACAAGGGCAAGGAGGGAGAGGACAAGGGGGATGGATTAAAACTGGAAGAGGGGAGATGGAGGTTGGACATGAGGAGGAAATTGTTGGGTGTGAGGGTGGTGAGAGCCTGGCCCAGGTTGCCCAGGGAAGCTGTGGCTGCCCCATCCCTGGCAGTGTTGAAGGGCAGGTTGGATGGGGCTTGGAGCAGCCTGGGCTGGTGGGAGGTGTCCCTGCCCATGCAGGGGGTTGGATCTAGATGATCTTTAAAGTTCCTTCCAACCCAAACCATTCTGTGATCCTAAATCTGACTGTGCTAATTCATGAGTGAGTCCATATAACAAGGCACTATCCACCACAAAAAACAGTTAGAAGTTCTAGATTATTCCAGTTCTAACACTAACTAATTACCTTTTCAGACTATCATCAAACCAGCTTGACCCTCCAATAAGGAAATGTAATAAAGCTTCTACCAGAACGGAGCATTGGACACCAACTGCAATGATCAGGAGGTTGAATCCAGTGCTGCTAAACCCGTATCTTTTCAGAAATGTCAGGAAAAAGCCAAATCCAAACACCATCATGTGGTTGACATCTTGAAAAGCTGCATGACAGAAAAGACCAAGACAGCAGTGAACTTATTAATAGAGACTGGATTCTGATTACCAAAAAAAAATCCAAATCACAATTAACTAAGAAGCCTTCGATAAAAAATTCAGGTGCCATTAGTATTTTGTGCTTTCAAAGAATTCCAGAGCTTTCTTCCCAAGCCATAAGTAATCAGAAAAACAACACCCTTGACCCTGAATTTATTTTTAGAAAGGGATCAGAACAGATGCCATAGGATGGGTGTTGAGGGCTCAAAAAGCAGGACAGAAATGAGGTACCTTTAGCAAAGAAAACTGGACATTCATTTCCCCCAAGGTGACTTTAAGGAGCTTAAGTTGGTCTCTCTGGGGGGGATTCCTGTGAATTGAGTGCTGATTGATTCCTTGAGAACATTAGGGAAGAAATGTGTTACAAAGAGAAACCTGTACAATGTCCTCGGCTGGGCAGAAGAAACAGAAATAGCAGTAGGAGGAGATGAATGTGGAAATGAGCATAAAAGAGGCTTTCCAAGAGAGAAGCTCTTGGATCTGCAGGCTTGGAAACACCACCCAGGACAAGCCAACAGTCATATTCTTATACAATTGTGACAGCCTCTACATCCTGCAAATATCAAACAGCTGGTAAGTGGGTCTCATTTTTCAACCTATAAAACAGGGAGGGTAACACAAGAATGTCACCAGGCTTAACCAGCTCATGTTTACACAAGACTCTCAATACACAACACATTGTGGCTGTAGCACAACCATTATCATGCATTCCTCAATGCACAAAATTCATCTGCAGAATATATTTAAGCCCTTAATTCCACTGTATTCGCTTCATGCGTTTACATCAAGAATTCAAATGGAAAACACTGCCATCTGACTTCCTCCTCTGTAGCCCAACACCCTGACATGCAAAGACCTCATGTAACAGAGAGCAGTGCCTGCCCTCAGAAATTCATGTTCGTAAGAACCAAGATTACCACAGGCAGCAGAAAACAGACCAGAAATGCAATTTAGTACCACTTATGTCTTCCTTCACTGTCTTTGCTTTTTATAAAGAAACACACACCAGAAGAGGCAACATAGGGTACTTAAAAGGACAGTAAAAACATTCTACTTCTCACTAACCAAGACACAAACCTGCTGAATCTCATCTCTGCAAAAGAAAAGCAGACATGAACCCTCCTGATCTTACCTGGGTAGGGAATGAGTGGTGATATGTCAAACCCTAAGAAGAAAAAGAGGACCATGCAAACAGCTTCCAGGCACAGGATGAGCCATGGGACACTGGTTAGGAAGTTGCGGTAGGTAGAAGCCATTGTGCTCTGAACTACTTGAAGCACAAACACATTAATACTTTTTTTCTCTATAAAAATGTTCCAGTAACCTCAAACCAATAGAAAAGGAGGTGGGGAATAAAAACTCAGAGAGATAAAAAGCCCAAGAGGCATCATCAAGGAACACTCTCCTTATCTGTGGCACGTCATGAGCCCAAACCTACAACGGGCATGGACTGAACTCAGAAAGTGCTCATGGACACCGACCCAGGAAGCTGCCAGGATTGGGATGCTCCAGGACATCATCCACACAGTCCCTCAGCTGGTGCTGAACTTCACAGATCAGCTGAGTGGCAAACAAAGAAGATCATGGACTCACAGGAGGAGGATGTTGAAGTTTCTTCAAAACCATTCTTTATTCACACTGTTTGGATCATCTCTGTGGCCTCCTCTGGACTCTCTCCAGCAGCTCCATGTCCTTCCTGTCTTGGGAGCTCCACACCTGGACACAGCTGGGGAGGGACTTTGGACAAGGGCAGGGAGTGAGAGGACATAGGGGAATGGATGAAAAGTCGCAGAGGGGAGATGGAGGTTGGACATGAGGAGGAAATTGTTGGGTGTGAGGGTGGTGAGAGCCTGGCCCAGGTTGCCCAGGGAAGCTGTGGCTGCCCCATCCCTGGCAGTGTTGAAGGGCAGGTTGGATGGGGCTTGGAGCAGCCTGGGCTGGTGGGAGGTGTCCCTGCCCATGCAGGGGGTTGGAACCTGATGATCTTTAAGGTCCCTTCCCACCCAAACCATCCCATGATCAATTATGTACCTATGCACAGACACTGCAATTTGTTAAGTAAGATTATTTGGCTCTTAATTCAATTTATGAATAAGAACATTACTATCTCTTCAGCAATCACTGGGCTTTTGGTAAACTGAAATGCTTCCCTCTTCAGGTAATCCAGGAGTTTAAAGTGTTGCAATTATGCCTCAGACTTCCTCCTTTGAGGCCATTTCAAAAGGAGTGCTGTGCCTGCAAGCTGGACTTGGAGGTAGCACCAATGCACACAAATGGTGAGAAAGCCACCTGCTGGTGACAGAAACATGATCAGAGAAAAACATTTGCAGTTCACTTAGATTTTAGGACATTTTTCCACTTGCAAACCCAGGCTATAGGGCACAATACCCATTTTCAAGTAATCTGTGAAAGGTTTGTCCCTGTGATGACAACTTGCACCTTCCTCACGTGCAATATCCAATTGCTTTACCAGCCTAACAAAATCATTAATGTCCTTACCCCCCTTTCAGAAATTCCCACGCAGTATTCAAACCACTTCCCCAGATGTGCAGAGCTCTGCCCTGACTTCAGAATAACCCCAATGCAGAAAGTTCTATATTCAGCTCTTTCTCATGGGAGTTCTGGGATCACGTGGGTAACTCCTACAGAACCAGGACGCCTGGTGAATTTTCTCTGACCAAGGTAATAGCTGAGACAGCAATTTAGAATTGATTTAGTTAACTGATGCAGTCTGTCTGTGTAGTATATTAATTCAATATAGCTAATTAGCTTTTATCTGTCTCCTGACAAGACAGAAAACACCCTCAGGACTCATACCTAGGACAAGAATGACCCAGATCTGCTTCCACCATTTTGCCTGGGTCAAATGAACAAAATTAGCTCTTTTGACACTTTTTACCAAATCTCCTAGCACCGTTAACACTCAGGGAAAACACACCAAAGCCCAGGAAATTATCCATGCTTTTCCCTCAGGATGACCTGCCACACTGTAAATGCTGATGCTGTTTTCCGGCTTAAACTCCCTCCCAAACAGAAATATCTCACCTCAGTGACGTCAGACAGGGTGAAATACAAGAATAACTTTCAAATTAGAGCCCCACTACCAGCAAAACATCCCCAGGGACTCAGCAGCCTCATCTGCCCCTGCTCTGTGACACTTTTAATGCTCTGTTGGGACCCACGGGTCTCAGACTCAGCCTAGAATGACCCCTGCTCACGGAGGCCCGTGACCCCCCAGAGAAGCGAGGAACGCTGGTGCCACCCA